CCAGTCTCCAATATTACCCTAGTGTCTGTGAGGTCAGCACTGGGTCCTGTGTGGGTCTGTCTCTAGTTCAGTGATATCTGGGTGCTCTGAAGCATCAGCTAACTGTACTGTAACTTATATGCTTCCTGGGCAAAATTCAATCCTGTATAAAGGGACAGCTCAAGACCTAGTCACTGGTTAAGGCTTAAGTAAAATGGATCCCACGGTTTTAGCCAGTGCCAGGGCTTGAATCAGGAACTTCCCACACTGACTGTATGGGTCTGAACAGCCTGAGCTAAAGAGCCAGGCTCTATAAGTGAGGCCTGTGGTACGCTCATGTTACTGGGATGTGTAACATAGGCAGAGCCGCAGGTTACTCAGATGCAGTACGGTCGCCTTCTGCCCAGGAGCGAGTTTCGCCCCAAACACACCAGTTCTGAAAATCGTCATTGCGGACGTGTCTCCGCTGATTCCAGTGAGGTTGTGCCAGGGATGAATTTCTCCCGCCCGGTTTAGAGCTGCACAAAGGGTTCCTAGCAAATGTTTCCCTAGCTTGGTGTTCATTACAAACAGGCAGGGCGCACCAGGTCTGTCAGAAGGCTTGCTGGTGTTCTGAGCAAACCCAGGGCCTGCCCAGGGTTTTAGCACAAAACCCAAGTGCAATTTTCAGCTTTCTGCTCGGCTTCAGGTTGAACAACCAGCTGAACGAGAGAATTTTGTCTTGAGCTTTGGCCACGTTAGTTGGATCCTAAAAACCAGTCTGCAATTTGGGTCCTGGGAATCCTGCCTGGGTGGGAACCACAGGAACTGACTGAAAATCCTTTGCACTCTACAGCCACTGATTATTGCCTGGTTAGTTAGCTGATTATGGTGTCACAACAATGTGTCCTGTCCTTTCTCTGGATTCTCTCCCTGAACTCCTGCTCTGCAACTTGTGTGTTCATTGCCATCTGTGTAAAATGCCACCCAATCAGAATGGGTCATTTGCAAAGGTACAAATGATGGAAGGAGGCAGTGAAGCAGGCTCTCCGTGGTTTTTTTTTTTTTTTTTTTTGGGGGGGGCATTGTTGCTTAAGCCCTGATTCAGCAAGGTACTAGGACATAAGCCTGAATTTAATGAGTCTACTACGCATACGCTTAGAGTTACACATGGTTAATCACCTTGCTGAACTGGGGCCATAAACAGAACAAGATAAGCGCCTATGAAGGGAAGAATCATCAGGTGCATAGTTCCTCCTTTACCCTCCACCTTCATGTGAAATCATTTTCCGGTGCCTCGGAGTGCTGCTTGAATCTAAATGGTATTGAAATCCCTAGCACTGCTGTAATGGTCGTGTGGTGGACCAGAGTGAAGTTATGTTAGCAAGTGAATTGCTGCAGGAGAGCTGTGTAATTAGCAGCACAGAGTGGGCCTGATTTGCCTCCCACTTAGATTGGAGGAGGAACTCCCAGAGGATGTGATTTCTAGTCTAATGTGGCCCTCATCTCTGGAATATCTGAGCACCTCCCAGAAGTGAACTGAGGGACATGACTGACGTCTGTCACATGGGGCTCTTTCTCCTTGGGCAGACAAAGAGAGAAAGGGTGTGCCTTTTATTTAAAAAAAAATTAGAATATGGACTCTCTGAGCACTATGTGTGTCTACACAGTGCTTGGAGATCAGCAAGGTCAGAGAAGCACCTTGTACTTGGAATGACGGGAAGCGATGCTTGTGGTGGCTTACGACTTCAATGGGTCTACTCATGTAGTTAGGCATGTTCTTGGAGCATCTTGCTTTACCTGGGCCTAAATTAGAGGAGGATCAGTCTCTCTCTGTTGCATACTGCCATTCGAATTGACAGCCTGGAAGCAGCGTTCTTGGACATATATGGGGGAAATTCAAGGTTTCCTTTTCATCGTAAAGGGAGTGGGCATCCAAAGCACTCCAGTCTGAGAACCTTACTGTTGAGCTGATTTATGCTCTCCTGAGTCTTAATGTATTTTTGGTGTAAGCTGCTATTCGTACATTTGTGCTGACAGGGTGTCCTCTTGTTCTGTGCTAATCTGTGGGGGAATTTAAAAGCCCAACCCATATGGGGAAGAAAGTATATGGGCCAGATCCTCATGGCAGAGCTCCATTGAATAGAGCTATGCTGATTGACGCCATCTGAGAATCTGGCCTGTCATTTTACTTCTTGAATTAGGACTTGGTTTTTCTGTAGTCAAAGGAATGCAGCCCATGAGATCTTCATGGCTAGATGTGTGAAACGCTGAATCTTCGCTGAATGGTGCCTCGAGTATCTGATGCTTTTTAGTAAAAATTTCCCCTTTTTACTGGTTTTATGGCCCATTCAGCAGAAAGTGTGATGGAGGGTCATGCAGCGGCCACTGCAAAATCAAATGACTGCAGCCTTGTTCAGCCTGCTCATCTTTCGGATTGTGCAATTGTAGAACTGCACACTGGTTTATTGGCTACCTTTTTAAATAAATGAACTATAAAGGGCCAAATTCTTCCCAGGAGTAATTTCTACTTAGCAGAGCCAAACCACAGATAAATGTGGCTCCCTATATTCATAGCAATCAGCTACAAGCAACCATCAGTGGTAGACTGTCTGTCACAAGCAGAAGTTTTGAATGACATCAGTAAGCTCAGTACATTGATATTTTCCCCTGCAGTGTTACTAACTGAGGAACTTACTAACTTACCACCCGGGACACTTACAGAACAAGAGCGTCATGGGTCATAATCTGGTCCAAATATTTAATGCACCAAGCATCAGTGCCTAATCTTACATCTGCGATTGGGTTTGGGGGCCCCTTTGACCTTTTTGGAAGGGGGGATCTGGTTTTAATCTGTCAGATGTACAGGGTGCCATTGTGCTATCCTGTCTGTCACACTGGCTGAGTCATGTTATGTGCCATTGTTACCCATGCTAAAGACAAACCAGAGTACTCTCCCTCCCAGGGAGAAACTGAAAAGATCTTTCTCAGACTCTTGTTTTCTCATGATTTACCTAAGGTAAATTTATCAAGAGAAATGAAAAATGCTCTAACTGATGGTTTCTCTCTATTGATATTTCCAGTGGGAATTATAAAAAAAATCTCTTTTGGTACTTAAGATGACTGGCCATTATTTTGCTTGAGTTTAATATAAATTCTGCAGTTAAAATGACTGTGGTTACTACTTAGCAGAAAATATTGGACCTGATTCACCACACAATGCTTCAGTTTTCGTAGGTTTCTTAAAGAGCCGTTATGAGTATTTATTCTCCCCTGCATAATACAGGCCATAGAATTTCATACCAGCATAACTCCATTGAAATCATGAGTCACCATGTGGTTGATGTATGCTATCATGAGTGCTTGACAGAAGTTATCTTAAGTCTAAAGGCTGGTGAACAATTCACTGTGCACATGATGGGAAATGCTTCTGACTTGCATGCAAGTGCCAAAGCTGTATCCCCTTGTTGGGCGTAACCCTAAGTTCTCTTTATCTGCCAGGGCCATTTACACCGGCAACAAACTAGAGTAATGTCGGAGTGAATCAGGCCTATTAGGCTGCAAGCTAAGGCAAATGCTACTGTAAGGGTAAGGAATACTGTATGTTGTATGTATTCTGCAGACTGCTCTTATCCTGTTGGCTACATTAGCCAGAGCTGGTACTCTGGAAGATGATGTGTGTCAGGAAAGAATATATTCTTCTCCAGCCATTTCCCCTGCTCTGAATATCAGGTCTGTTTATTGACCTAAATCCTCCTCCATCTAAATGGCATGCACAGCCTTCTTCCTTGCTGTAGAGAGTGACTTGTGAGAAAGTAAGTAAATAAGAGCATCTGATTTATGTCAGTTGAACCTCCAGACTTCTGTGTATTATTCCGAGGGCCTAAGTCTTTGTCTACACCGGAGAATAGCTTCCCCTCCCCCCCCCACAACACACACACACACATTCAACATTCAGTGTAACTGAAGCAGTGCTGACTCAATGGGTATGTCTGCACCCCAAGTGAAGGTGTGATTGTGGGCATACCCGGCCAGGTTTACTCCAACTAGTGCAGATGGCAATAGTAGTGAAGACCGGACAGCATAGGATTCAGTTCAGGCTAACCATCCAGAACAAGATTGGTGGGGACCCTGGGTACATATTCCGGTTGCTACCCCATGCTGGGGTCCATGCTGCTGCATCTTGACTGCTATTGTTACCCCACTAACTAGATTAGCACTAACTGTGCCTCCCCATGCCACAATTACCCCCTAATTTGTGGTGTACATGTACCCGAAGTGTAGATAAGGGCATGCAGAGATTTGCATTGATTGAGTTAATAGATGTTTACCCCTGTTGCTTTAGTTTATTCATTGCAAACCTTGGGTTGTCCTAGTTTACACTTAGGGGCCATAGGTGCAGGTGAGCCAATTGCTGACCACCACTCCCTGCACTGGGGCGAAGCAGTTTGGGGGCAGGAATCCTCTTTTTGTTGTTTGTATGTTGTGTACAGTGCCTAGCACAATGGGGTCCTATTATTCACAATGTGAATAATAATCCCGAGTTTAGATAGAGTCTAAACGTAATTGACCCCCAGAGTAAATATGCTCCCACTATGCAGAATGGTGATGCATTTGCAAATGACAAACGCGTCTCCTTTCCTATTTCTCCGAGGCATGCCAAGGTTTTCCTTCCTTGTTTCGCATCACTCACCAGCCTGTGATTACTTCCCTGCTCTGATCCCACTTTAATACTATCACAAAGCCTGCTGGAGCCAATTAGAACACCACATCTGAACTCTTTCCCCCCCATAAAGCCTTCAGGACACGTTCTCTAATCTGGGCTTCACTCCTGTTTGGGCAAGGCAGACTGCAGGAGGGAGGCTGGAGGGAAATGTCACACCGAGAGAACAGATTCCACGAGGGATCAGTGGCAGGAATGTCTTTCCCCTCCTTAAAATTCCCCTCCCCGCTTCTTGATCTTAGGCTTTGCAATGAGGCACTTTCCCTAGGCAATGAAAAATGCAAGCTCCCCCCCCCCCCGGAGAAAAGCTCCAGGCTGCCCCTAGCGGCAGCGCTCCAGAAGGCAGCTTTACAAATGAAAGGGGTGGTTGCAGCGTTCAGCACCACGGCAGCGGACAGCCCCTCCCGGGCACCCCGGCGGAGGCAGAGGCGTCCCGGAGGGGGGTTGCAGCCTGAGGTACCAGGCGCAGCTGGGGTGGGGGGAGAGGCTCTAGGCAGAGCGTTATCCGCCAGCTCCAGCCTCCTCTGAGGATCTGCCCCCCACCGCCCCCCCAACCTGCTGCAGCATGGCTCGGGAGAGCCCTGGTCCTGCCTCTGGAAGATGCAAAAAAGCACCCAGCGGGGCAGGCGGATCTCTCTCGACAGAGGCAGAACTGTAGCATCCTTTGGGGACCGCAGGAGCGAGAAGGGACGGCGGGGCAGCGCCCCCCAGCCCTCTCGCCCAGCAGCAGCAAAGAAATCGGGGCAGGGTGCTCAGAGTGGCTTAGCCCGGGCAAAGTTTCCCGGGCGGTGTGGGGGCGCAGCTAGGCAGGCGAGAGCCCCACGCGTGGGAAGGATCTGCGGTGGGTGTGCTGCTCGCGGGCGGCTGGTCCCTGGGGCTTCCCCGCAGCTCCTCTGCTCCAGCCTGGCACTTCTGTTCAGTTGCTTAACCCAGAGGACGCGGTGGGGGGGGGAGGATCCTGCTGCCTCTTGCCAGCCCTGAGTTCCCACTCAAGCCCAGGTAAGTGGTTCTCGTCGGCTTCCAGCCGCCGGTGCTCCACGGCCAAGGTAATGGAGAATTGCTGGAGAGTTTCACAGCACTTTGTGTGTGTTTGTGTGTGTGTGTGTGTGTGTGGGGGGGGGAGGAGTACTCCTGCTTTGTTAACACTCAGCTTGGATTCTGCCAGCTCGATGAAGAAGATTTTGACTGTACAGAACTTAATTGATTTCCCCCCTGACCCTTTTAAACAAGTTTCTTTCACGCCCCTGAAGGATCCCACCTTCCAAAAATGGGTCTGTGGATTGCTTCAGGCAGTCTAGACAGGCTGGATGTCAGTGTTCGAATGAGTGATATTTTTTCCCCACTCAAGCTGAGTTTGCTTAGCTTTTGTGTGAATGTTTTGGGATCTATCCAAAAATTATGCCCTGAAGATGCTGGGTAAATTCGTCCCGGTTTTGGTTCAATTAACTTCACTGGAGTTATGTTTGAGATGGATTTGGTTCCTGGCTTTGACATTTGTTTTGTTTTTTGTTGATTTTTAATCAATCCTCCAGAGAATGTATTTGATCATTCCTAGGTTGGAAGATTCCTCTCCTGTATATTCTGCTTTGCAGTTAGTTATTCTTTACATTTATACATTTACAGCTTAATCAATATGTATTGGAGAATAAACCCAGAAATGTATTAGACAATGGTCACCCCAACACACACACGATGACAACCACAACAATAATAGTAAGAAGCAGAGAGGTCTGCCTAGATCCTTTAATACTTCCCTTCCCACAATGAAGTCTTACATTTCAGAAGAGTGATCCGTTCAAAATGAATAACGTTACCTGGTGCAAGGGCAGTGCAGAAACAGCAAGGTGAAGGGAAGAGCCTACAAAAGCTGTAGGGTGTCTACAAATAGGTCACTTATTAAGTTCTGGCACTTTGGTGATTTCTACTGCTCTCAATGGGCTTTGGACCAGGCTCTCTGTGCATGTAGTTACTGTCTCTGATATAAGGGAGAACAGCTTTAGAAAAGGGGTCACTTGCTGGAGGATTTTCTGCAGCTTGAAGTCTTTAAACCATGATTCGAGGACTTCAAGTGCTCAGACATAGGTGAGAGGTTTATTGCAGGAGTGGGTGGGTGAGCTTCGGTGGCCTGCATTGTGCAGGAGGTCAGACTAGATGATCATAATGGTCCCTTCTGACCTTAATATCTATGAATCTAAAAACAAGATAAGGATGCTCCCATACTGTGTATTGATCATAATAGGGTTGATTTATTTTCCTACTGTTCCAGGCTGCCTGGGTTACTCTCTAGAGGGGTGGCATATTTGTAAGGTTAAGTGGTGACTTGATCACAGTTTATAAGTACCTATGCAGGGAACAAATATTTGCTCATGGGCTCTTTAATCTAGCAGCGAAAGGTCTATCCTGATCTGATGGCTGGAAGTTGAAGCTAGACAAATTCAGACTGGAAATAAGGCATACATTTTTGACAGTGAGGGTAATTAACTATTGGAATGATTTACCAAGAGTCATGATGGATTCTCTGTTGCAGAAAATTTTAAAAAATTGGATGTTTTCCCAACAGATCCACTCTAGGAATTATTTTGGGGCAGTCCCATGGCCTGTGTTATCCAGGGCCTGTGTCAGAACAGATGATCAGAATGGTCCCTTCTGGCCTTGAAATTTTGAATCAGGTCATTCCTTTTTCTAATACCAGGCAACGCTTTCTGAAGCCCACTCACTTATTTCCCAATCATTTTTGATTTTGTGCCATCATTTTAATAGAGCTTGAGGAAGGGGAGGCGGCAGAGCAAAGTGACCAGTGTAAATGCACACGATCAACTGTACAACGGTTTCCAGCCCACTGCTGTTAGTCACAGTTCAGGGCAACTGCGTCTGTATTTCCTCCTCTATGGCCCAGCTAGGGCACCCACTTTTAGGCTTCTGGCTCCCAGCTGTCACCTCGCTTGGGTGGAAACATGTGTCTCTCCCCCTCCTGGGGATTTTCTAGGCCCAGAGTTCCCTGCCTGCACTGTGACAAATCAGACTGCTTCAGCCAGTTTGCTTTTCTCCTTGGAGGCTATAAACAGTTTAATCTCCCACAGTCAGAAGTTACCACATAGCTTTTCTAAGCAAGCACATTTATTCTTCAGGTAAAAGCATGACTGAGAAAACATATTCACATAATAATAATAATAAATCCTACACACTTGCTAACAAGCTTACCAGAGATCACCCCAACTCCAACAAGGGTTCTGGTAGGAGTCAGTCCTTAAAATTCCACCCAGGGTTTTTTCTGTGGTAACAAGTTCAGAACAGCTGTTAGCTCAGAACTAGATCCCCATGAATCTGTGTCACTTGTTTATACAGTGTGGGTCTTTGATCCTGGGACCTGGGGAACAGGTAACTTGCAGACCGTGAGTTTCTTGTCAGGGCATAGCTTCAAAGGGCTGTGTCTGGAGGTGGGAATTTGCATTCACCTCCTCCCAAGTACAGTAGAAACCCATTTATCTGACCCTCCATTATCTGGCTGTCTGTATTAAATAAATAACTGGCTCTCACAGGTAAGAAGTAGGTGATCTCTACTGTGGCTACTAGATTGCACTGCAGCCTTGCACGTTCCCATTCTCCAGATTATCTGATTTTTGATTATCCAATCTGGCCGTGGTTGCAAGGAGACCAGATAAATGGGGTTCTTCTGTATTTCTTGGGAAACCAACTAAACCAGGGGTGGGCAAACTTTTTGGCCTGAGGGCCACATCTGGGTATGGAAATTGTATGGTGGGCCATGAATGCTCACGAAATTGGAGGTTGGAGTCCGGGAGGGGGTAAGGGCTCCGGCTGGGGGTGTGGGCTCTGGAGTGGGGCCAGAAATGAGGAATTCAGGATGCGGGAAGGGGCTCCAGACTGGGACAGAGGGTTGGGGTGTGGGGTTGGGTGGGTGAGGGCTCTGTCTGAGGGCGCAGGCTCTGGGTGGGGCTGGGGATGAGGGGTTGGTGGTGCAAGAGGGTACTCTGGTCTGGGACTGAGGAGTTTGGAGGGTAGGAGGGGAATCAGGGCTGGGTCAGGGGGTTGGGGCACAGGAGGAAGTCAGGGGTGCAAGCTTTGGGCAGCGCTTACCTCAAGCAGCTCCCAGAAGCAGCGGCATATCTCCCCTCTGGCTCCTATGTGGAGGTGCAGCCAGGTGGCTCTGCGTGCTGTCCACAGGCACTGCCCTGCAGCTCCCATTGGCTGTGGTTCCTGGCCAATGGGAGCTGTGGGGGCAGCACTTGGGGCAGGGGTAGTGTGCAGAGCCCCCTGGCTGCCCCAACGCAAAGGAACCATAGGGGGGACATGCCGCTGCTTCTGGGAGTTGCATGCTTCCTGGCTGGAGCTCGAGGACCAGATTAAAATGTCTGGAGGGCTGGATGTGGCCCCCGGGCTGTAGTTTGCCCACCCATGTACTAAACTAAAAGTTTATTTGTGGCTTGCATGTTGTTTAAAAGAGTCCTCTGAAGCTATTACACTTCCCAGGGTTTACATTAGTCATGTCTCCACTCTAGAGATGCTACATATGATCCCACAGTAATACCTTTGCATTTTGAATACAATAAACTCCTGACACACAAACTGAATTCAGTCAGGTTTGTCCAGGAGATTACAGAAACTTGCCATATTTGTCACACTGTGCCTCCGAACGCCACTTACAGATTCACCGAAAGCACCTCCCTCCCTGTGTGTCATCTTGCAGTTCTGTGGTGGTGATATCATGCCAGGAGACTTCACTCTCATTGCTATAGGCCAGTTTCCCCAGCTGGTGTAAACTGGCCATAGGTCCATTGATGTAAACGGAGCTACCCTGATTTACATCAGCTGAGGATCTGGCACTTCATGTGCAGCCTGGAGTTAGAAACCTACAAATCCAACCAGGCAACATAGGGGGAAAGTTCTGCCTCATATTTAGAGTAGGGTACTGGGAGTCAGGACTCCGGGGTTCATTATTCAGGGCCTGCCATTCACCTGCTGTGTGACTTTGGTCACCCGTTCTGGAAGTAACAGAGTCAGTGGTGGTTCTGGTACATTGCTCGAAGCATGTCTAAACAAGAGAGATCCTCCTATGGTGATTACTTATGGGGAGCTGCTGAGGCTCCTCCGGAACAGGAGCAGTTTGCCTGCTGGGGCTGCTGCCTGTTGATGGCAGCACATGTGCTTGCCGGGCCCATGAATTTATTAGCAAACTCCACCCCCATTGTCCATGGTGCACAGGAATATATTAGCATGGGCACTGCTATGTGCCTGAGAGCTGCATGCATACCCTTGTGCAACGACCGGGCTGATGCAGCTGTCACTTAAGGCAATGGAAAGCGCCCGTTCCTTTCGGCAGGAGCTGGCTCAAGTCCAAGAGCAGCTTGTCCTCCTTCTCCTGCAATGTGTGCAACGCCCCTCCATGACCCTTTGTTTCCCTTGCCTGTCAGCTCAAGGAAGAGCAGGACTTGAGCCAGCTGTACAATGGGCTCCCCCTCGCAATGTGGAGGCGTCAGCCGCCCAGGACCCCCCCGACCCTGGTTTCTAGACCTGTGGCTCTTTAGAAGTGCAGCCTTGCAGTGTCCCTATGGGGGAGGGTGCCAATAAAGTAGCCAAACAGGAGCATCTGTAGCCTCTGTGCCTCCAAGGGTGTGATTGAAAATCCAGGGACTTCAATGGGATTTGGATCAGGCTCAAATAATGGGGCGGGAGGGGGAGTCTCTAAATAACCTGGCACTCTAGGGACCACTGCTGGGGTGAGGGTCAGATCCAGGGTCTGCGGATCCCCTGCCAATGGTACACAGGAAGGGTTGGCTATTGCAGTAGAGGCTCTGGAATAGGGTTGGGTGAATAACGGATTTTTTGGGTTCATTGGCAATTCTGAAAAAAAAAATATTTCCAAACTTTTGGCAAATAGAAAAATCAAAGCAGATTTCATTTCAGGCGGGATTAAGTGCCTGGGTTGACTTGTCACCAACATTTTCATTTTGACTTTGAGCATTTTAAACATTTGTAATTAA